ATTAAGTATAAATCCCACAGGGTTAGTTACCTCTGCCTTCCATATTGGGAGGTTAGCATTCAGCAAATGTGGAATAGGCCTCAATGTATATGTGACTGACTCTGTATGGTCCTGAGGAAAATTGCCCTACTTGAGGTCCACTGTTGAAAAAGGAATTAAAGTTTAAACTGAATGTGGTTATTTCTAACTGGAATTTGCATTTTTTGAAATTTAATAAATATTTTAATGAAAAGTCTATATTGTCTAAGACAAAAAGGTAGTACCAAAAGTGGCATTGTTTTACAGTTTTGTAAATTTTAAAAAATAAGAATATAAAAACACACATTCTATGAACTTGTATCTTAAAGAGACTTTTCATACCTTCATCTTGAAATTTGGGGAATGCAATAATTTCAGAGGTTGTTAGAGAAATGGAGGGATAGTGTATGCTCTAAATTAAGGGTATGTGTGAGGGGGGCTAATCTTAAAGGCAGATACTGCTTTTATATTTAATCAAAATATTGATGTTATAAATGATTTACAAAAGTTTTATTTTGTTATTTTATGTCTGAGGAGGTGGCAACTACTAGGGAAAGGGGTAAGTATAAGGCAATTTGTAAATAATGAGATTGACATCTTTTAGAATTTCTATAGCAGAGGTTAGCAAACCACAGTTCCTAAGCCAAATTTGGTCTGCCACCCATCTTTGTAAACAAATTTAATTGGAATGCTGCTATGCTCATTCATTTATATATTGACATTTTTTTGTGTGTGCTATAACAGCAAAATCTATCCGTTGCAATAAAGACCATATGGCCTGCAAAGCACACACAAAAAAATTGCTGTCTTGTCCTTTATGGAAGTTGCTGACATTTTTTGTAGAGGGTAATTGAAGTTGAAAGGTGGAGAATGAGCATCTACTGAATGAATTGTGGATAAACCTATAGAACTGTGAATGCAAAGTGATAGCAAACAAACAAGCAATCTTACTCCCTCACTCCCCACACTTCTCCATTACATAATATTCCTATGTCCTTTAAGTGCGCATGAGTGGTCAGAAATTGCACTCTACTTGTGTGGTTTTTGGATTCCTTCCCCAAAATTTTAAAAAGTGTTGTTTGATTAGATTTACAAAATAAGACCTATATGACCATCCTCCAACTACAATCTCCAAAAAGACCCAGTAGACATTCCCTTCAGTAAGGTATAAAGAAATATATTAGTGAGGGAAGTCCTTGCAACCATGAGAAAAAATGTGGTTGCTCTCCTTAGTAGGTCATTGAACTTGGCTCTCTGACTTCAGTGGAGATGATGAGATCCCATAGTAACAGAAGTCAAATGGAAGTAGGATTTAACTACTGAAGACAAAGTAGGTACATCTTCCATAATGGAAAGCAGGGACATACAGTGCTCAGAGTGCATTGCATTGCATTGACTAATGCATTGCAAAGACTAATGTCTTTGGTGGACTCCTAGAGGTAGCTAATAAATGAAATGGATGGGCTGCATGAGAATTTCTCAGGCATGGAAAGCCAAGACACTATGACCAAAAAAAAAAAAAAAAAAAAAAAAAAAAATGACCTAAATGAAAGATCTCTGTGAGTGAGATCCCAGCGGAAAGAACAGGCCATCAAGGGAGGAGAGAACTTCCACTTTGACTATGGCCTTGTCTAAATAAGATTGGAGTTGGCGAACTCAAGAGGCTTCCATAGCCTTGGCAGCTCATGACAAGAGCCTCGGGGGATTGCTGACATCATAAATAAGAGTGTCAATTGTTAGATCAACAACAGGAATCACTGTGCACCTGCTCCCCATGTAGGAGCTCTGTCTTTAATGTGCTGTACTATGTGAATTAACGGTATAACTAGTCCTCAAACAGTACTTTATACTTTGTGTTTTTATGTGTGGGTGCAAGCTGTTGAAATCTTTACTTGGTATATACTAAGTTGATCTTCTGTGTATAAAGATAATTGAGAATGAATCTTGATGTGAATGGGATGGGAGAGGGAGAGGAAGATGGGATGGTTGCGGAAGGGAGGGAAGTTATGGGGGTAAAAACCACTATAATTCATTTTTTTTTTAATTTTTTGACAGGCAGAGTGGACAGTGAGAGAGAGAGACAGAGAGAAAGGTCTTCCTTTGCCGTTGGTTCACCCTCCAATGGCCGCCGCGGCCAGCGCGCTGCGGCTGGCCCACCGCGCTGATCCGATGGCAGGAGCCAGGAGCCAGGTGCTTTTCCTGGTCTCCCATGGGGTGCAGGGTCCAAGCACCTGGGCCATCCTCCATTGCACTCCCTGGCCACAGCAGAGAGCTGGCCTGGAAGAGGGGCAACCAGGACAGAATCCGGCACCCCGACCGGGACTAGAACCCGGTGTGCCGGCGCCACTAGGCGGAGGATTAGCCTAGTGAGCCGCGGCACCTGCCAAAACCACTATAATTCAAAAGTTGTACTTTTGAAATTTACATTTATTAATTAAAAGTTGAAAAAAAAAAAAGAAATAGATGGGCTGTGTTACAGTATCACTTTATATAACTGAAAAAACCTTTTAGATAGCAAAAACCCTGGCTTTAGTTGCTACTGTTGAGAATCATGGTATCTCACCCAGTTTCCAGGCCCAGAATTTTTTCTCAAAGGAAACTGCAGCCGTTTATTAGAGACTATGTTTAGGAAAAAGGAAGTACTCAAAGCGTTCATACTGATTCCTAAGGGCCCCAAATATCACTGTGACCCACCAAAGTGGAGTATTTGCTTAGTTGAACTCACCATGAGCTCGAGTGGTAAACAGAGCCATATTATTGGAACAGTCTTTGGGTAACTGGGACTATCTCTATATTGAGTCTAAACCATGGATTGAAGATCAAATGGTAAATTCTTACAACCTCCCCTCTCTTCTAAGATAGCTAAGCAAGTAATATCATATCTCTGAGAAAATTGTTAATATATGTAAGACATATGACATCGCATCCCCTTCTAATCCATTTGGCTGTGCAGAAGTTGAATGTCTCTTAGAAAATGACTGTGAACTATTGAGTGCTTCTAAATGTAGTTGGTCACCCAGATGTAATATATTTATCAAATCATACAGCATCTAGCTTTTTTATGTAGCTAAACAGTTTATTAATACATACTCATTTATTCATTCCAATTTATAAGGACTACCAAACCTAATTTGTTTTCATCTTGTAGGCCAAGTTTCCCTTCATAGTCTTCCCTCAGGTATAGGTTAGTTCTCCTGTCCTAGAGATCTTACTTCCTAACATTCCACAAATTATCATACTGGTCCATAGTGATTATATATGATGACCAGAAAGTAGCAAGCGCATTAGATGGCTCAGTAAAACATGTGAATTAGAAGGTGATAGATCAACTCTACAAAAATTCAAGGGCCCAGCATTTTAGTAACATTTCTGGGCAGCATTTTAGTAACATGTCTGGGCATTCAGTGGCCACTATTTTGAAGAGCTGTTTTGAATGTTGGAAGCAACATATATTACATGTTACTGTGCTACTTCAGCATAAATAAAGAGTAAATCATAAAGCTTCTAGTTTTGACTGATGATCAGAGCAAAAACCAACCAACCAAGAAACAAAGACTGGGGGCAATATAGCCAGTCAAGGACACAATGCAAGGTGTATTAAGACTTCACTTTTATGATCTAGTAAGTCCAATGATTGTCTTAGAACCTGTGTAACTAGGCCTGCTCCATGGTGCCTTTGGAAAACAGCAATAGCAGAATGACAGTGAAGACCTCTACCATTCTGAAATAGATACATTCCTTCTTCAGGTAACTACCTCTGATAAGCAGCCTCTGGCTTGCCACTAGGTACTGAATGAATAATCGTGGGACATCAGGTTGCCATAAGGACTGAGTTTCCCATCTTTCAGTGGTGTTATCTGAGTTACCAAGACATAAGTTAGACCATGCTTGGTAATGGTCTGTCATCAGGTGAATATGATACATGAGACAGAGCGTGGACAGATCAGGAAAGTACCTGTGAAAGTTGCTTGAGAAAGTGATGGTGCCTCCTTTGATACCAGCTCCTGTTGTACTTCCTTATCTTACTCAAACAATGCCTATGGGTTTTTGGAGATTTTCTCAGTCTTGTTGATAGAGGAAAGAAAAAACTTAAGCCTGGTTTACAGACTAGTCTGTCCAGTATGCTGATACCACCCAAGAATGTACAGCTGCAACACTGCAGTCACACTTGTGAGCACTTGTGAGTAACCGTGAAGGTCAATGAAGAAGGAAAATTATTCCAGTTGGCGTGACTGTTCACTATGTTTGAAGTGAGAGATAGTAGGAAGTATACGTCTATATTGGTTGATGGACAATCGGATACAGGTAATATGTTCAAGACTTTGGAAGGAACAGTATTAGAAGATTGGTAACAAAGTCTGAACAAGAAGTATGTATGAGCCTTTGAAAATGGGCTGTCTGCAAAAAAAGTTCGTCCCATCTGTATGCCCAGTAAAGGGCATCCACCACAGAAGAGGTTTTTACTAATCAAGAGGGCAAAATGACATGCTCTGAGGTTGTCAGTCAACCTCTCTCCCTAGCTACCACAGTGCTTATTCAGGTGGCCTGTGGACACTGACATTGGTGGCAGGGATAGAAGTTATGTATGCATGGGCTCAGCAACATGGACTTCCCATTTCTAGAGTTCACTAGCTAGTACACACTGCCTGGTTTTGAAACTAGAGATCAATATTGAGCTCTTGGGGAGGCCAAGGAAACTAGCTAAAGCTATTCAAAATACTAGAACATGCTGCTTATGAATTTTTTATGTCTCAGCTCCAAATTTCTGGCCTGCTCTACAATATTGGAGCAAGGCCTCATAAACATTTCTCTTTTACCCAATGGTGTGATGCTAAACCTTGACAGTAGAGGGCACTGGAAGGACAGATGAGGGTGAAAGGGACCTTTCTTCTTGACTTCAGGGTTGCTCACTGGCCCAGCCCTTTCTGGTCTTTCTTCTCTTCACTGCTCAGCTCCCCATGTGGTTTTTCTTCAGTAAAAACCTGCAGAGCATAACTTTCTCTGAGCCTCTAGCACTTTTTCCAGAGCTTGACATCGTACCAGTGGTATGCCCTGGAGCCACATCCACCTGTTCCCCATCCCAGGCCACTGCTTTCTAGACTCTCTTCTCAGATCCACACAGTGCACATTGGGAGACTCACAAAATTGGGTGTCTTGAGAGACAGCTGCTCAACCTTTGTCCTGGGAAGCCACCCCAGAGCCATTTTTGCCAGGTGGCACCAGGAAGTAGACTCCTCAAAGGACAGCCTCTCCAACTCCAGGCTCCAGCAGTACCCAGCAGTCACTAGTTTCCTTCAGCACCTCGCTACTTCCAGTGTTCCGCACATCTCTATGAATGCTTCTTTTGGGATTCCAGAGGACAGATTTCTGGCACATCCCACCAGTGAGGCAATTCTGTGTTTTCCACCATGTGGAGAAGACCTTACCCTCTTTCTCTGTAGAGATTTCTGGATCTCAGTCCAGGTGAGAGGGTGATTCTTTCTTGGGCATTCATCTCATCCATAGAGGTAGCTGTTGCCCCTTATGTCTGCAACTCCTGTTTTCTTTGGACTCTGTGAATCTGAGTAGCCAATTCCTTGGTATCCCAAGCCTCTGTTAATACAAGATTGTATTAAACCCTCTTTGTTCAAATCACTGTGTTGTTTCTGTTTCCATATGAATCCAAAAACCAACAATTTTTAAAAATTAACTTATTTGAAAGGCAGAGTGGAGTGACAGAGAGACATAGGGAGAAATGAGGGGTAGGAGATCTTCTGTTGGTGTCTATCTTCAATCCCCAAATGCCCACACCAGCTGGAGCTAAACCAGGTGGAAGCCAGGAGCCAGCAACTCCATCTGGGTCCCCCACGTGGTTAGCAGGGACTTTGAGTTATCCACTGCTGCTTCCCAGGCATATTGACAGGAATCTGGGTCAGAAATACAGAGTAGCTGAGGAATTGACCAGGCACTCCCATATGGGATGTGAGCCAGGGTTTCAAGCAGTGACTTAATCCTCTGTACCACAATGTCCACCCCACCAGTTATGTTTATAGGATAACTAGGTGGAGAAGTGTTTTAAAATTCAATCCTCTACTTGGGGGAATGGGAAGTACTTCAAAAAATTCATGGAAAATGGAATTAAAAGATAAGTTCATTTTGATGCAAAAGAAATTGAAGTTCATGCATAGAGGATTCTTCAGAAAGTTAATAAAGTGTATGTTATGAAAAATTATGCATGACTTTCAAGAGTTCTTTGCACCAAAATAGGCTTTTTGTTTGAATTCTGTTTTCTTCTTTTTGAAGTATCTTCCTACCAGTTCTGTGGGTAATCTGTGGATTCACTGAAATTGCTTCTGAGAATTCCTGTACTTCCTAGTATGCCATAAATAATCTATATGTGTCTTTCCTGTTAGGTGAAATTCACTGAGAGATGTAGATGTGGCAGGACAGCGTGGGAGTGTGTAGTTCACCTCCCCATGCAGCTCCCTGTAATTACTTATTTGCCCCAAAACAGGCAAAGATAGAATTGGCTGGCCCACAAACCAAGATCCTACCAGCAACCTTTCATATTCAAAGGTGTTAATGGAGGTGCTTATCAGACCATGTGCAAGTGAAATGAATCCTGTGCCTCACTGTTGCTCCCTGTCACCTCTGTCCCTGGGCTTTTTGTCTTTAACCAGAAGATAGATCCCTTTGTTCAGAAAGTCATCTAGCTCTGTAACAACTGCAGGCTGTCAGCCTCCTAGAGCAACTCTACTTTGTCTCTAGCTGGGATCTTTGAAATAAGGCTGCTGCCGTCCCTGCTGAGACAGCATGTGGCTGTCCCCTTGCAGTTTGCTTTGCATCACTGTGCATGTCTTGTCGTACAGCCCCAAGTGGCTTCCTGCATATTCCAGGCAAATTTGATTCCACCGAGGAATGCAGAAATGACTTCCTACCACTCCCTCATTCCCTAACACTTTCACCAGCAGATGAGGGGAACTTAACAGAAGAACTTCTGCCCAAGCACCAGCTAGTTCATTATCAGGGCAGTTTTGTTTTGTTTTAAATGCAGTTAGGAAATCTCGATGATAATGTGTGGCAAGGATCCAATGAGAATTAATTCACAATAGTGTACTTTTCTTACTCTGCAATCTGTACTAGGATTTTAGGATATAATTTTGTATTTCCCTGCTTGATGTGGTTATCCTTAACTCTTTACAGCATGCTTCAACTCAGTTGCAAGGACGTTTTATATATCAATTAGGCTTTGTGCCAGTTAAATTCACCTGGAAACAGAACTTCCTCCCTGGAATTGCAGTGCTTTATTGTCACAATACAGAAACAAGAAATGCTAAGAATGCTGTCCTCTTATCTTATTAAATGTTACTTTCGTGTGCACTTACAAATTCTGCTTTTCACTGCTTTAGAAAATTGCTTCGGGGGAATTTTTAAGTTGAGCTAACAGTGCTGTAATGTATGCTTTCCATTTGGAGGCAGAACCATGACTATAATCTTGACATTTTCTCTTATGAATCTACATTTAAACAAGATGCCCAGGTGATTCACAGTCACATGGAGTTTGAGAAGCAGGAGTCTAGATAACTGCAAGCCACAATGTTGTGGTTAGATTATTTTACCTTTGCAACATTGTAGGGCTGTCTCTTCAGATAGAAACATATTTTTACACTGAGAATAACCCATGAATTTTAAGCCAGTCTTGCAGTCTGAAAGAATTGTGCATATTGTTTTAGCTTTTCATTTTGTGGATTTTTTTTATTGTTATTAACACTTTTTTAATGATGTTGACATCTATACTGAGAAGCAGATTTATATTTTTAAAGACCAGGCTCTCAATTTATTTTACTTTTAGAAACTTAAAAAATATAGAATTTAGAAACTCTTCAAATTTTTTTTCTGAGTTTTAAAAAATTTTTATGGTATTTCCTTCTCTTCTATGAATCTGTTATTTAGTAATTAGCAAATTGCCATTTTGAATAGGTGAATTTCAGGGTTTTAGGAAGATTACCATAACAACCCCTTTATCTGCTAAGCGTTTCTAATATTCAAATATAACCTGCTATGTCCTGAGTGGGCTACTGCTGTTCAACTTTGGGATTCAACTGATAGTTTACTATAAGAAAAATTTGTTTTGTTTTGTGAGCTGTTTTCACATAGGTTTTCAGATTTGGCAGGTAGCATGGACTGTGAACATGAGATTATTCCTGGGGAAAAAAATTAAGAATACTGGTTTTATCCTACTCTTTTATCTATTGCATCTCTTTCAGATTAAGTGTTTCATTCATATTTCAATTTTCATATTTCATAGTTCAATCATAACATTTATGATAAGAATAAAGCATTTAAAATGGTTTTATAGCATTATAATTTGCAGTAACACTTCAGTACCTCATTTTTATCGCTATTAATCCTTGACCTTTTCGGAAAATACTGGGCTATTCTTATTTTAGATTTTCTCTTACTCTAAGTCTAAATAACTTTAGCTCAATTTATACCAATAATCATGAGGAACAATGTGTCCTTACATTTTTAAAAATTAATAATATGGTTGACTTTGGGCAGATAACAGCCCACTGCTTATCAGGTGTTAGTTATGATTTGCCCGATGTCTTCTGACCTAGACTATCAGTCTAAACCCTTGCTACCCCCTGGAATTACCTAGGAAGCTTAAAACAACAACAGAAGTATAGTGTGGTGCCTAAGATATTTCATTTATTTTTATTATTATTTTATTTTTTAAAAGATTTTATTTATTTGAATGACAGAGTTACAGAGAGAGGTAAAGATAGAGAGGTCTTCTATCCACTGGTTTACTTCCCAGATGGCTGCAATGGCCGGAGCTGTGCTGCTCCGAAGCCAGGAGCCAGGAGCTTCTTCTGGGTCTCACACGCAGGTGCAGGGGCCCAAGGACCTGGGCCATCTTCTAATGCTTTCCTAGGCCATAGCAGAGAGCTGGGTCTGAAAAGGAGCAGCCAGGACTAGAACTGGCGCCCATATGGGATGCCGGTGCTTCAGGCCAGGGCTTTACCCTGCTGCGCCACAGTGCTGGCCCCTATTTTTAAAAAGATTTATTTATCTGAGTGTCAGAGTTACAGAGAGAGGAAGAGACAGACAGATGTTGGATCTGTTGATTCATTCCCCACATGGCTGCAGTAGCTAAGACTGGGCCAGACTGAAGCCAGGAGCCTGGGACTCCATTATATCTCCCATGTGGGTGGCAGGGGCCCAAGTACCTGAGCCATCTTCCCCTGCTTTCCCAGACACATTAGCAGGATACTGGATGAGAAGTGAAGTAGCCAGCCAGGACTCAAATCGGCACTCATATGGGATGCCAGCATTTCTGGCAGCAGTTTAACATACTGCACCACAATGCCAACCTCAGGCATTTCATTTTTAAGAGCTTTTTATTAATCTGTATCCAGGGTTGAAGAAAATAGATGGGAATGCTTAATGCTGAGTGTAATTTTTCATGACTGGAAACTTAATATTGCACATTAGGAGCCAAGGACAGATACGTCTATGAAAATCCCTGGAGCATCTGTGTTGAAATCTTCAAATGAACAGGAGTTAAGAGAACATTCTTCTCTTCAGAAATAGTCTGAAAAGAGCAAGCCCTCCTAGTCTACTCCTAGGCTACCTCTAGAAGATTCTTGACCTCTTAATCCTCCTTCATTCTCTACTTCGAGGCTGCTTCCAGAAGGTTCTTTTTTATTTCAGATTTATTTATTTGAAAGGCACTGTTAACAGAAATGGAGAGAGAGATTCCATCTGATAGTTCACTCCCCAGATGGTTGCAATGGCCAACACTGGACCAGGTTAAAGCCAGGAGCCAGGAACTTCTTCCAAGACTCCCATGTGGGTGACAGAGGCCCAAACACTTGAGCCTTCTGCTGCTGCTTTCTGAGGCCATTAGCAGGGAGCTGGATCAAAAGTGGAGTGTCCGAGACATGAACTGGCACCCATATGAGATGCCGGCATTGCGGGCAGCAGCTTTATCTGTTAACGCCACAGCGCTGGCTCCCAGAAGGTTCCTGACCTCTTAATTCTTGATTGTCA